TAAAATTCAGCAAGTTATGTCAAAGTTAGTTAACTTTGCAAACTATTTTTATAAAATATTATTTAATTTCATATGAATTGTTAATACATTATTTTATTGTTATTGTTGATAATATCTTATGATGATATACAAAATATCTTTTCTTCAAAAATATTTATTACAATTGTAACTACATATTCAATTTGTGCTTGTTTTTCATTGTCTAGAAATATTAAATATTATCATTCCATGGTCTTTGAGAATTATATAAGTGACTCAATAGAATTTTCCATTATGACTCTTTCTTATTGTTAGAAACTATCTTTGTCTATTTAAAATTTCAGTTAACTACATTCTTAGTCTTTATGTGTTCTCGATTCCATCTGGGTTATATGCTTTGATATACTACCATAATTAAAAAAAAATATTAATTCCAATTCTGTTATCACATGTCGCATATGCCAATTCCATGATGTAGGTTACACTTATGGCATTATTGTATTTTACAAATAAATCCTAATATTTCAATAACAATGTTTGCAATTGTGCAAGTTGTAATCCTGAAAATGAAAGTATATCAAAAAATTATTTAACAAAAATATTTTGATATCTCTATATGTGCTGTTCTAATTCTTTCAATTATTAGATTTTCATTCTTAAAATCTGTTATTATTTATCGAGATGCTAATTAAATCTAACAATAACATCTTTTTCTATTTCGGTAATGGATATAAACAAATATATGATAAATTTAAAATCATAAGATGCATTTCAATTAGAATCAAAGAAATCGATAATAAAATTGCTGCATATTAAAAAATGCAGAAAACTCAGTTGAAATAATCTTAACAGAAAAATGTTTTGAATGATTATTATCAAAATTTCTAAAAATTAAATCTTGCCATTAGTATTTATATTATACCAATGGTGGCCGTAACAAATTTGCCAGTATAATTTATTCTCAAGTTGTAATAAAATCTGTCTTTAAAAAATTATTTAAGGCAAATAATTTATACATTCTCCCCTATCTATAAGCTCTATCAATAATTCTATCGTACTCTAGTTGTTAATTACTCCTTATTAATACGTACTTTTTTCACATTTTCAACATTAATGATATGATTGTCGAAAGTAGCTTCAGAATTTTATTTTTTTCCATTAATTAATATTTTTTGATTTGGATTCTAATTTTTGTTTAACTCTCTACATTATTTCATTAAGAATAAATTCCAAAAAATTGCTTCAAAATATTATAATTACATAACTTTATACGTCGAATATTGTTACGCAAATGGTCCTTTTTCTATTTTTTTTTTTTTAATTCTTTTTTTCTTTGATACTCTTTTTTTTTCTTTACTTGGTCTATATCTATCATTTTCTTCTTTCTTCGTGCACATTTCTTTTCTTTTTCTATAGTTACAAATCAGTTTAACAATTCAATTGCAAATCATAATATAATAATTTTTTTAGCCCTTTGATTAATAGTTATGGATATTTTATGTACCAAAGTTATTCGTTTTTTCTTTTCACATATATTTTATTAAAACTATACTATACGATAGCAACAATTATAATAGAAAAATTTTTAATGATTCAAATTTATTTCCCATATGACAACGATCGCATTAACGACAATTAACGTTTCGCCATCTCGAATCCTCCTATCGGACTTTGTCTCTTTCTAATTCTTTTTTTCTCTGCTTCTATATTATCATAAGAAACTCGTTATCACATATGTAATTTTGTCTATTTACTATTTTCTTTATCTTTTTTGACAGTTAGGATTTCATTACGAAAACTCAGTAATTTATGCATTTCATTTATGGAATACATTATATGTTACTTTTGTATTGATTTTATTTAAGCAAATTTCGTTTTTCTCATTTTAAAGGTGTAGATATGTTTTGTATACGAAAAATACATATTTTTTGGTTAATAATGAAATAAAAGTATGTTTATCATATATTTAATCTACGTGAATATGAAATATGTTGTTTTTCATTTTCTTTTATATTTTATTAAATTAATATTATATCGACTTTTACATTCCTTCAATAAAATTCAAAGATTATTTATTAATTATTTAACTTATTCTTTTATTTGACGGAAGATTGCGACTCACACATAGAATTTCTAAAAAAAAATCTATGATGCTTTGATCTCTTTTTGATCTCTGTTTCCATTTCGACATTTTGGATTATAACATACGTCGTTATGCCTTATCTAACTTTAAATGAAAGGTGTATTAAACGCAGACAATTCATTCAATGTCGAGGTGACAATAAGAAATAAAGTCGGATAATGCAATTAAACAATTTTAAAAAGCTACAGTAAATAGACTTGGTAACATTCGATGTTTGGAATATAAGTGTTTATTCCAAATGCTTTGTATATGCACAAGAATTTATTATATATGCTGAATAAATTTAATCTTTCTATTACCATGACTAAGTTCAAGTTCGTGCTACATAAGTTACTTGCAATTTTTCTATGAAACTTCTATAATTTCGAAGATGGTGAATGACAAATATTTCATTCCATTCAGGAATACCAACGTCGACTTTCTTCGAATATTTCAAAGAAATATAAGATTATAAGATTAAATCTATCGTCATATGGTCTCACATTTGTGAAATTTATTATATACGATATCGTATCAAATTTGTTGTCATGACATTTAAAATATTAACGTCCCTGTTATAAGATAATAATGATAATAATGATTCTTTTTATTTTCTTAATAATAATCATATCATAAATTAAAAAAATAAAAAACAAAAAAAATGAAAGAAATAGTAAAATGCTTTCTGTAAACATGGTAGACAGTCACTCAATCATATTGACTTAATTTATTATAATATATGTAAATTTAAAAGAAAATAACAATAATTATTTTATACTAAGCTCCCTTCTTGTTATAACTAAAAGTTTCTGTAATTGTGTAATTGTATAATGTCTGCAAGCGTCCAACGATAATATATCCTAAAGAAATATGTAATTTTACAATAGAAATTCTTGGCGAACAATTTCAATTCAATATTAGTAAATAATTCTTTCTAATTGATTTACTTTAATGATCGTTGAAATATTATTACTTTCTTTAGTAAAAGTTATAAAATAGTTATTATCATAGAAAATTTTACCGGCTGTAAATACGTAACTTCCCTCGATAATTTTAACTTGCACAACCTAGTACAAAATAGAAAAATGTTTTAATATTTAATTTTTAATGTTATTGAATAAATCATCTAATCAATAATCATTTCTATTATTACTTTGTATTAATGTGCACGTTATAAATTTATTTTCTAAAATTATTAATAAAGAATGTATTGCATATGAATATCTTCAACAGAAAGAATAAATCTACATTATTTGATATAGATATAAAAGAAATGTAACTTATCGACATTTGTTATATACTTTTATTTGATAATATAAAACTTGAATTAAAATCTTTGAAATATATCTGTCAAATATATACACTTATCGATATACATATATACAATATTTTAATGTAATCTAATGAGAAGTCTACGAGAATTTATTAATTACCAAATTTGGTTTCTCCATTCTTCTTATACATTGAAGAATTATCTTATACTTCAATTCGTTAATACGGTCAGTAAAAAAAGGAACTTTAATTAACTACGACACACAATAAATATTTAAAATATCCACATACAAATGGCAATTGCGCTACACTTCTTTATTAACATTCGTAGTTTTTGATTCTCGATATTATCATAAACCAAGAATCATGCAGGATTATACGTAGTGGCTTCTGGCCTTTAGTATATTAAATTTGTTAATAAATTTGTATCAAAAGTTACGACCAATCGTGTTATAAATAAGCATCGAAGACAAAAGAGAAGGAGATTATTATTGAGTTCCGAAAGTAAGAGTAATGTAAAGAATTAAAATATCGAAACTGTTTCTGATGGAACAATTTGGGAGGAAATAGACGAAGGTTCTAAACCTGGAAAGGTACCAGTTCATAATATTTTTAAGGAAGTATCTGATCCGGCAGGATATATTAAACGACATATCATAAAAAGAAAAGTAAAGAGTGCATTTTCTTTGATCATTAATTACCGTATAATGGAACATATAAGAATGTGTACAGAAAAAGAAGATTTAAAGTATTGGGAATTAAATGAGGACTAAATACAATAAAATAAGATGCATTCATTATTCTGGTATATGCTTGAAGCGCACATGAACCAACAAATTTAGATTTCATATTAATAGAATAAAGAATGGAATCCCGCATTTTTTTCAAAAACCATGATCAGGAATACATTTACTGGGATTATGAAGTTTATACGATTTGATAAGAGAAGCGAAAGAAGCCAGTGTTTACAAACTAATAAATTTGCTATATCTAAAATATGAGACCGATTTATTGAGAATAATCAAAATTCTTATAAACCAGGTGCATACATTATTATTGATGAGCAGTTGTTTCCATTTAAGACTAGGTGTAGATTTACACAGTACATGCAAATCAAACCAGATAAGTTAAGAATAAAATTCTGATTAGCATCTAACAACAGCAAGTATGTAATAAATGGATTTCTCTATTTGAGAAAGGATGAGAGAAGAGAATATTGAATTCCACTTGGAGAGTTCGTTGTTCTCAAGCTAATGAAACCATTCACAAGGTGCGGAAGGAACGAAATAATAGATAGTTTTTTAATAAGTATTTCACTGGCCACAAAATTATTTGCAAAAAGGACTACTATTGTTGGAACCAACCATGGAAATAAATGAAAATTCCCTAAATTTGGCAAACAACGGAAAAATAATATGACATATTATTTTTCAAGCAAACTATGAAAATCAAACTATATTTCTCTTATGTAAACTAATCTTTCTTATAGTTTCATTACAAAATTATTTTTTATATAAATAATTACATAATAAATAATGTAATAATTATATTTATAGATAGTTAACAAATAACCATCATAATTTGGAATGGAAAGATGAATTTGTTCATTATAATTTACAATATAATATTATTGAGAAACATTTGATACCTTTAAATGGTATTATAAAAATGTACACAACAAATACTGAAAAAATTCATTGATTGTACGAATTTCTGTCAGAGTGACATAACATATTCTTAATAAATAAACGAATAAATATAATAAACATAGAAGATCAAATTTTCAACGAATTAAACAATAATGATTTCCCAAAATGTTTCTTGTATAAAACCGAAAAAGATTTTGTGCCTTAAAAATCATGCAAATATTAAAAAAAAAACTAAAGACTTATCAAGAAACACATACAACGGAATAATTTCATTTGTAGCATACCTTCATTTGACCTAAAAAAGTGAAAACAATTGTAAATACATGTTGTTGTGTAACTTTTTGGAATTTGATTTCAATAATCTGGAAAAATATAGAATTACCAATGTAATTTCTAGCTCCAATGCCGAATCGTAAAAAATTGTAAGAATGAACATTGCAGGATAGAAACCCATCTGAATCGAATTTCAATGATTTGTTCCAATATTTCTGATTCCAATGAATTTTGTAGGTCCAAAATATGACAGAACTTCTTTTTGGTATCGTCCAATTTTCTTCCACTTTATATATTAATATTTATTCATAAATAAATATTGATATTAATTAATATTAATACTATCAATGATAAAAAAATACAATATTATCATTTCATATATAGAGATAGCATTTATACCCTTCGTTGCTTTAGGACCGATGATTGGGCCTATTGGAAAAAGCCGTAACATTTTCTTGATCACTTGGTTCAAAATATTCATATTTTTAATATCATCATGTATTATTGGAACATATTTCGGATCGCTCGAGCCGTAAATTTGATTCAGTTCCTCGTATATTTCTTTCTTTGTAATCAAAGATGCATAACTGATGATAAGAAGTTAATATGAAAATAATTTTCTTTATATAAATAATGGTGATAATTAAATAATATGTACGTATTTGAATATTAGGGAATGTAGCAAAGATTAAAAGTACAAAGCTAATGATAGTAGCTGAAGTATCATTTCTCTGAAAAGAAGTAGACACTTTTCTCTAATTTTATATAACAAATAAAATTTTATATATATATATTTTATATATATATATATATATATATATATATATATATATATAAATAATTTGATATTAATAAAAAATGTAGAATATATGTAAATACTTCACTTTGAACAGAGAACAAACCATTGCCCATAGTAGGTTTAAAATGTTCATATTCCTGTCTCTTTTCAATAACATCTGTACTATGTTATGTACTCTCTACAATGATATTCTATTAAATTATATTACTATGTAATATAATCTTAAGAGAAAGGAAATTGAACGAAATAAAATAAAATAAAACCAATATAAATTTATCACAAATAATTGAAATAAATCTAATAAAACTTACTTCGATTTTTTTTTGTTCGTCGACCATTATAAGTAATTTTATACCTAACCATACACGCCATAATGATTGATAATTCATACTAATCTTCAGAAATTGGTTAGTTATATCTAGAAGAAAGATTATAAATAAAAACCAGATAATATGCCTAAATATAGAAAATATTAGTTACAAATTTATCTTTGGTCTCGCCAATAAACAGATGAGCGTTTCCGATAATTGAATATGCTTTTGGACCTGGGAATCCTTTGATTGTATTATTACATGCGTAATTCATTAAAAAAATATTGTACTATAGAATAGTATAATTCAATTAGTATTATTATAATAACAATCAATGATGCAACAAATATCATGATGAATTGAATCAATTGAAAATTATAGACGTAATTCAATTTTTTTAAAAATACTTTTATAATTGTAATAATAATTCTTAAAATTTACGGATACTATATTGGCAAAGCACAACAACTTCTATTATTCTTGTCTCTTACCAGAAAATGAGGGAGGAAGAAAACGAGGGTTATTTAAAGTATACGAAGTACGGACTTTGTAGATGTAGTCAGAGCTTACGTCAGATAATTCTTATTTATTTTTCCTAATAAAGTGTTTTACAAAAGCAACAAAAAATTTATCCTGATAGTATTTCTTTACAAAAAATGCAAAAAAAAAATCTAATAACATACCATTATGATATAAACTATTTTTTTCGTTCATGTTTTACATTAATATAAAAATTGTTTAAGAACATGTGGAGTATAATTTCACTGATGGGTTCAACGCATTGAAATAAGAAAAAAAGTTCATGTGAACATATGCCTGATATGATTTTATTTCTTAAATATAGGTGTTATTATATCAGATTATAATTATCTGCAGTCATTTAAAAGTAGTTCACAATATATTAATAGATAATATCGAAATATTCCAGCAACATATTATAAATGTTGCCAACAAATTCGCCCTATACCAGGCATTGAATTAGTTAAGAACCCTGGAAGGCCTTTTAGTCTCTTTACAATAGTGCTATTTTTTCCATTTTAAGTCGAAAGTTACTGAAGAAATGCGATTTAAAAATTTCTGATTGAAAACAACTTTTATTTTATTAAATGTTAAAAATATTCAATTGACTGCTCTACATAAAATAATAAAGTTTGTACTCAGTGTTAGATCGAACATTTTGCAGCACAGGAGATGTAATTTGACGGTATTCTTCTACTTCGAAAGCCGATTGGGTGACATACATTCTGGATTTTAAATATTCGCATAGAAAAAATTCAAGAACATGAACGATTGAAAAAATACTGTTTTAAAAATTGTCGCATTCGAGTAGCTTCATCCAGTAATGAAAAAACATTACTTTCAGCATATTCAGATCATTTTTAATAATTATTTTCTTTCATTCAATGTAAGAATATATATATATATATATATATAAAACAGTAAGTAAGATGAGTTTTATCATACATTGAAAAAGATACTTAAAAAAAATTTTCAGCTTAATATTCGTACCAGATTCCTCCGATAGTTTCCTTTCCACAATAGATAATTGGAAAATAATCAAAGTAGATTTTTTGAACCATTACAGATACCAATCTTCTCTGCTGAAATGATCGTGAACGTTATATTTTTCATAATATATGGTTTCATCATTCCATAGTTCAGTCTTACATATTTAAATTCGATAAGATCGTACTGTATTCAATCTTCTTCTTTAGTTTGATCAATTGAATTTCGGATCATTACTTAACACTGATTTTTCCTGCAAATGATTATATTTGAGGATTCTTTTGACCAAGTTCAAAATCAAATTTTCTTCCCCGACCATCTATCTCACATCTCTCCATATTATGTATATGGTCATAGTCATTTATCTGATTACTAATACAACTGTCACTGATTACGGTGTATTTCAAGAAGAAGAAAAATACGATTATGACTGAACTTTAAACAAAAGAGATTAATTTGATATAAATGCTGAAACTCATGAATCCAAGATAAAGATGAAACAGCCAAAAGAATTTCATAATGATTGCCAAATTCGATGATAAATATTTTCTCGGTGTTTAATGTACTAATCGTCGGCAAATCTCACAACGTTGACTTACGTGATTAGAGATCAGTGATTGACCACCAAACTCGTTAATAACATTTTGTTATCATATTATTAAACATGATAATCAATTAGCTAATGAGTAAGCTTATATTTTAACATTACAATAAATCAATTCACTCATTCCTTGCAATCGTTTAATTTATCACCATATAAAAATCTCGAAGGTGATGTCTGCGCTTCCTACTATAGTTATTATCTATATCAATCCGTTGAATCTTCGATCATCTTTTTGTATGTGGATTCTTTGTTCCTTTAAATTACAAATATGGTGAAATAAACACCAGAAACTTTGAGAGTATTAAAATTAATTTTAATCTACAAAGAGCCATTATGTATTCGGATCACTTCATCAGCACAATTTGGAAACTGTAACTGATGGATCCCTAAGATCATTATCTTGTTTTACAGATACTCACATATGCACTGCTCAACGATACATTTACTTGTCGGAGCATCTGTCGCTAAAAGTGAACCATTCAATAGACAAATATCCATTTGAGAAAATTAGAAATCCAAATTAGAAAATTGATACAAGAACATGGTCTACATCTCAAACTTATTCTTCTCTCATCAACAATCGTTCTACCATAATAAAACAAAACATTTTCCCCTTTCAATTAGCAGATCTAAATAATTTCCTTCTAACGAAATTTATCCATAATATGACCAAAAAGTATGATTGCTGGAACAAAAATCCATGACCATTAACAAACAAGCATTCTTACCACGTTTCCACGAAACCTTCAACTGCAATTTTCCTTAAGTACCATTTGTAATAAACTGCTTTTCTCCTCTTCTACGATTGTTATAAGGCTAGCAAATTCGATAAATAAATTTACTCTGTCTTCATCTGTATGTTCTTCAATATCCTTTCAAATGATTCCGATGATCTCTTGGATAGTTCTCTTGCTTTTCTCAATCTTTGCATACATAATGAATCTTTCGGTAGAGAATATAATGAATCTTTCGACGAGAAACCATCGACTAATTGATGAATACATATTATCGAATGATATCCTTGAACCTTAAGATATTTTTCTTTTCTATTTTCATACAAATAATAATCGTTCTTATTCAATGAAAATCTAGTAGTCATGGAGGATTGAACAGTTTGTTGAGACATGATCTTATCGTGGCGACATTCTTATTGAGGATCTAATAATTATCAGCGAGAACAGAATCGAAATGAAAATACATACTCTTGGTACATACCAATTAAAAGCCAGTCCAATTTATTGCACAATGGAATATTCCTTTGTTGCGTTCATTTCCTTAGCATAGTAATAATCCAGTGCATAATGATACATTTCTGGATCGACGTCATCATCTTTTATTCTTAAATGAAGTAACAGATTGCTGAGCATCAATGGTTAGCCAATTCTGAAACGTTATACATTATATTAGTCATACATTGACATAATTTGAAAATAAAGAAAAAATACACTTTTGATGCAAATATTTCACTTAATAATTATAATAATAATAAAGTCATTATCATCTCATATTTTCTTACCAGGAATGAAAGAAAAAACTTGCGGTTTACAAAAATAATAACAGAATTATTTATTTAATGAAATATTTATTAAATTCTATTTTGCTTCCTGATAAACTGTATACCAATGCTATAATATTATCAATTAACAGAATACTTCTTTTAAAACATTTTGTCAATTCTCTGATTGACGATTGTAGCTCAGATCCGTTATTATTCTTTCTAGAAATCTTCTGTCTTTCCCACATTTTAACAATATGGTCTTCCAGACTTTATTTTGATCCTCTTTCTATGATAAATATAGTATATTCCCTTGTAAGACACTGCTTCATACCAAGTAAAAACGTTTTATTAAATGTCGGTCTGAAATAAAATGTATTTTGGATATAATAATAGCTAATAAAAATAATTGCTAAGAGTAAGTAGTACTATTAATAAAACCAATTAATTACAACGAATAATATTACGGAAAGGTTCCAGTATCAGCTTCTTCAAGTTATTATGCTTTACTTTAAAAATAATTTGATCCGCTTTATTTCTTGATGCGTTAAAATCTTTCAATTAAACTCATACTTAGAGATTAGTTTTTAATTTCTACAAACGAATATCATTTAATAAACTTTCAACGTGCTAATTTTGGTTTCAAGACCGAAAATTTATTGAAAGATTCATTAAATGAATGGCATAAATATTGCATAATATGACATATAAGAAGCAATTAGTACCTTAACTAAAGACTTTGTAAGAATACGCCGTTCGACAAATATAAAAAGAAATACTAACCTTAAAAATCTATTTTACCTTTTTCAAGAACGTGCATGATTGCGGCGATAAGTATGGATGATAAAATATCAACTACAAGTGAAAGTGGCTGTTCCCATCATGCACCATTATCCAATAATTGTATAAGCTTGCATTGGACATAACATATCAATGGGTTTCGTTTGAGTAGAGTAGGCAATGTTAGTTAGAAATGTGTCCTTATATTTTTCAGTCTCTCATATGTAGATCTTTTTTACATTGTCGTAGGGGTCTCGCAGTGATCCGAATTAGATACGATGTTGATACACATTTGTTTCAAAATTGCATAAAGAATAATAAATATAATTGCTATATAATAACTAGTATATAAATATACGATAAAAAATAAGATTTTGTGGAATATTTTGTCAAAAATAATTGGTGAAGACTTATATATTATATTATTTTAATATACATTATAACATGAATTCATTTTCGCACTACTTATGAGAGTTATCTTTTCACTAGGTTTCCCTTTCACGGTTATTCCACTATATGCTATTTCAACTGTTACTTCTACTGCTATTACTACTATTACTACTACTGATTATATAATAATGAAAATATTTCGTACATTTTATATTATAATAGTAAAAGCACTGATAACACGTTGTTATTTCAAAATACTTGATTGAACGTCGTAAGCATGTTAATCGCTAATAAAATATACGCCGAATTACGAATCGGAAGATAACAAACTTTACGGGAATAAACAATTTCGGACGGAGAACACACATAGTAAATATAAATATATTCTTTTATTTTTTCTTCCTCTTATTATTATATTTTTATATTATATATTATTATTATAATAATAGTAGTAGTAATAGTAATGATACAAAGACAGAGAAATCCATAAAAAAATAACGCTGAGAGATAAACCCTGTAGATAATGTGGAAACGAACTCGTACTTTGATCTTTTATCTATCACTAATTATTATTATTTTTGGTAAATCAATTAACAAATGTATATATTTTATATGCATGTCATCAAACAAAATACTAATGCTATTACGTCCTACTCAACATAGATCACATGTTACTCACATCAACTATCAGAGGGGGGAAATAAATATAAGATATTGGATAGGAACGTCCTATTAAAGTATCAAATAAAACAAAAATCAAAGAATAAATTTATATTATCTTTTATATCTCTGGTTACTTTCCAAGCGATGATTAGACCTGGAGAAAATAGACGTAACGTTATCTTTTCAACAGTTTCATACTTTTAATATCATCATATGTTATCAGAACATATTTCGGATCGTTCGAGCCGTAGATTTGATTCAGTTCCTCATATTCTTTGTCCTTCCTGATCGAAGATATGAAAAGAAGTTAATATGAAAATTATTTTCATTATATGAATAATCACAAATAATTAAGAAAGTGTAATATGTATATATGTTCTTGAATATAAAAATTTTATTGTATCTAAATAATAAATGTGACTTACAGCTATAGCTATCGTATTGATGTCGCCCCGAATATCTTGCTCCGAATATTTTTCTTCTTCGTGCATTGATTCGAACAAAAAGTTTAAAAATCCTCGGCTTTTTTTTATTGGAAAATAAATAAGGATCCTTTATTAGTACAAAAAAAGATGAGAATTAAAATTGTATTATATGCATTATAGTTATCCTTACCTGAATTTTCCTCTGTCAATTCCCAAAAAATTTTCATTCTCAATGTAGATTCCTTTTTTTCTTTGATTACTTTTAGGAACAAAAAATAATATACATATATATATAATACATATAATATATATAATATATATATATTATATATACATAATATTAAGATTTTTCAGTGTTAAATAGAAATAAAAAAATTCAAAAAATACTTTTCTTAAATATGCTTCGCTTGTAATGTTGTCAAGGTACGATAAACACGTCTGAAATTTCTTCCCCACAGTAGTGTAATAAAAAATTATATACGGATGTAATCATAATTTAAGGATCCTTTCGGCAGCTATATCCATCCCATTGAATAGGAAAGTAAAAGTACTTTGAAAAAATGTACATGTGTATGACAGAAAGCTATAATGAACGAGTAAAAGAGAGAAAAGCACGATTACATAATATATAAAACACTAGACATGAGTGCGAGAAAGTTGTTTTACTTCGGCAATATCGACCATCGAGTGTCGAGCGAATGAATAGATGAAAGTTTGTGTGGTACATTGCGATATAAATAAATTGAGAATTGTTCACCGTTAAACTGTACAGCATTGAATGTGTAATTAAAAAATAATTTTAAAGGTACGTTGCATTTCTCCTACCATAACCAGTGATGACGGGCAATTTGCACAGAGGATATTTTCTTAATTCTACATGTAATTATTATATATAGTTTTTCATATATATTGTTATTATTTCCAAAATCAGTGTTATAACTATGTATATAAAAAATATATTTATGAATGAAAATAGGAAATAATTGCTTTTTTCATAATGAACGTTTTAATTATTATTTATTACGCCAAAATTAGAAATTAAAGTAAAAATATATATTCAAATATCAAGCTAACAGAAAAGATGATTTTCATAACATATTTGTAGAATTTATGACATATTCTCTATTTTAATGAAGAATTAATTAACAATCGGTTTATAAAACGATGTTCAGTTATAGCATTTTTTGTGAAAGTAAGAGGAGGCGACAAGGAGGAGATAATTCATTTTTGGATCCCCTACTATTTCCTTCTCGCCTAATCGAATAAGAATTTTCTTACGTAAGCACTGATCACGTGAGTATAGTCCGTACTGCGTATAAATATCCCTCGTTGTCATCTTCCGTTCTCACTTTCCATTACGACACGAGGATAGTAAGAGTTGTACTATGTAAGCGAAGTGTTTGTAAATCACAAAAATTATTGTTACAATCATTAAACTACTTTTATTTTAATTAAATTATTTCTATAGCTTTCAATAGCTGCAAATCATTATAAAATTCACTGCAATATTAACTATTATTACAATAATACTAGTTGAATTATTCTATAATATATTACAATATATTTTAAATAAATTACACCAATATAATACGATCAAGAGTATACCGGTTCCGAAACCATACCCAATAATTGGAAATGCTCATTTGTTTCTTGGCGATAACGAAGGTATATTTGTAATTGATATATTTTATATTTAAACGCTTTACCCAGTTTTCATTTATAAATTTTTTTTTTAGATATAACAGCTCAACTTTCAAACTTATAGATATAATATTCCAATATTTCATAAATATTGAAATTATGAATCATTGTGGCGTATATGGCTAGGAACGAAATTACTTGTAATCGTACATAATCCGGAATATAACAAAGTAAGACCTATTAATTATATTTTAATCATTCGTAGTAAATTTATATTTTTTTCTTTACTTTTCTAGAAGGTATTAAATAATCCAAATATTAATGAGAAGAGCGAGGAGTATAAATATATGAAATCGATTATCGGCAGTGGATTGTTTTCTGCTTTAGGTAAAGTATACATATTTTACATTGTTTAACCTTTTCGCTCCGGAGCGCTTGCGTCACAATGTGATCGCTGTGAACGAACCGCATTACTGAGTAGTTGACACTGAAGTACGGAATGCTACGAAGTAATTAGAAGTCGTTTCTTGTTCTTTAAATTTTACAATGACATTTATTATATTCAGTAATATCATCTTACTTTCTAAAATATAAAAATGTATAATCAAAATTTATTTTTTTTTAATATTTTATTATAATGTTCATATAATATTTTTAATACAACGAAATCACTAAAGTATTTAAAGCCGAACATAAATCGTGTCTGCTCTTACTCGCGAAAAATATTCTCTTAAATTTTCTTTTCCCCATGTTTTGATAATGGGTCTAAAAAATTAAATATTTTAAAACTCAACATATTATCACAAAGGAAAAAATTGAATATTTACTGGTATATATTCATCGCTGGCAATGTTCTAAAGAAGACTGAAACTGTATATCGTTAAAACGAAACACAATATCGTTTTGTCGTTAGTGTTTTATTTCATGATAGTTAATTGTTTTTAAGGCATGCAGCGTTGACAGATACTCGATTAACAAAAGTATCTCATGTAAAATATGAAATCAAAGTATATATGGTATGAACGTATATGTACGCTCTTTGTACCCGAGCGTCCATTTTTTCAGAGCATATATATACGCTCTTCGTACATGAATGGTCATTCTTCGAAGGCGTATATATACGCCCGTCGGAGCGAAAGGGTTAATATTGTGTAATTATTTATATTACGAATTATATATAGATACATATATATACTCATTCGAATATTAACTTATGCAAAATTAAAAGATAAAATATTTTTTCTTCTGGACAGATATATACAAATTAATGCATTATAAAAAAGTGTAGCAAATCTTCTCTCGCTCTTCCTCTCATTTTCTTTTTAAAGAGAAAAATAAGTAAAAAATATAAATTAAGACTTGCTTTCCTTACGATTTGCAGCAAAATTGTAGAATTATCATAGAAAAATATTAAATGAAGTCTTTCTTAAAAAATATCTAATGTTCCATATGGATGTATTCGTTAATCATTTTGTCGCTTTAATGGAAAAATTGGAAACTTTAGTTGGAGAAGAAATAGACGTTTGCCATTACGCCTTTCGTTGTACATTGGACATAATATATGGTAATATTTCGAAATTTCTAAACGTTTATAAAATTTATATTCATTTCTATGAATTTATAATATTTTTGTTACATTGGTTATTCAAAGATTGTCTGCATCAAACTCCACTAAATCGCAGACCGATGAGAATTGCAAACTAGATGAATCTATTCATTGATAATATTACTGAATTTTATACTATATCAAATACTTTATTTTTCATTTATAATTCGTGTTTTGTTTCCTTCCTCAGTTTGATGGATATAGCTGCGCGAAGGATATTCAAAACATGGTTACATCCGAATATAATTTTTTGTAATACTGCTATGGAAATTTCAAACATGTTCATCCTACCTGAATAACGTTACAAGAAATGTATATTTAAAAGAAATATTTCGTTAATCCATCTTATTTCTTTTTAACAATTTAAAATTTAAGTATTATATTGTCTTTATTAGTATATATCATTTTTTGTTTGGAAAGACAATCAAAGAAAAAAAGTAATCTAGGTTAAGAATCGTAATTAAACAAAATTTGGTTAGGTCTTACTTTGTTATATTCCGGATTATGTACGATTACAAGTAATTTCGTTCCTAGCCATATACGCCACAATGATTCATAATTTCAATATTTATGAAATATTGGAATATTATATCTATAAGTTTGAAAGTTGAGCTGTTATATCTAAAAAAAAAATTTATAAATGAAAACTGGGTAAAGCGTTTAAATATAAAATATATCAATTACAAATATACCTTCGTTATCGCCAAGAAACAAATGAGCATTTCCAATTATTGGGTATGGTTTCGGAACCGGTATACTCTTGATCGTATTATATTGGTGTAATTTATTTAAAATATATTGTAATATATTATAGAATAATTCAACTAGTATTATTGTAATAATAGTTAATATTGCAGTGAATTTTATAATGATTTGCAGCTATTGAAAGCTATAGAAATAATTTAATTAAAATAAAAGTAGTTTAATGATTGTAACAATAATTTTTGTGATTTACAAACACTTCGCTTACATAGTACAACTCTTACTATCCTCGTGTCGTAATGGAAAGTGAGAACGGAAGATGACAACGAGGGATATTTATACGCAGTACGGACTATACTCACGTGATCAGTGCTTACGTAAGAAAATTCTTATTCGATTAGGCGAGAAGGAAATAGTAGGGGATCCAAAAATGAATTATCTCCTCCTTGTCGCCTCCTCTTACTTTCACAAAAAATGCTATAACTGAACATCGTTTTATAAACCGATTGTTAATTAATTCTTCATTAAAATAGAGAATATGTCATAAATTCTACAAATATGTTATGAAAATCATCTTTTCTGTTAGCTTGATATTTGAATATATATTTTTACTTTAATTTCTAATTTTGGCGTAATAAATAATAATTAAAACGTTCATTATGAAAAAAGCAATTATTTCCTATTTTCATTCATAAATATATTTTTTATATACATAGTTATAACACTGATTTTGGAAATAATAACAATATATATGAAAAACTATATATAATAATTACATGTAGAATTAAGAAAATATCCTCTGTGCAAATTGCCCGTCATCACTGGTTATGGTAGGAGAAATGCAACGTACCTTTAAAATTATTTTTTAATTACACATTCAATGCTGTACAGTTTAACGGTGAACAATTCTCAATTTATTTATATCGCAATGTACCACACAAACTTTCATCTATTCATTCGCTCGACACTCGATGGTCGATATTGCCGAAGTAAAACAACTTTCTCGCACTCATGTCTAGTGTTTTATATATTATGTAATCGTGCTTTTCTCTCTTTTACTCGTTCATTATAGCTTTCTGTCATACACATGTACATTTTTTCAAAGTACTTTTACTTTCCTATTCAATGGGATGGATATAGCTGCCGAAAGGATCCTTAAATTATGATTACATCCGTATATAATTTTTTATTACACTACTGTGGGGAAGAAATTTCAGACGTGTTTATCGTACCTTGACAACATTACAAGCGAAGCATATTTAAGAAAAGTATTTTTTGAATTTTTTTATTTCTATTTAACACTGAAAAATCTTAATATTATGTATATATAATATATATATATTATATATATTATATGTATTATATATATATGTATATTATTTTTTGTTCCTAAAAGTAATCAAAGAAAAAAAGGAATCTACATTGAGAATGAAAATTTTTTGGGAATTGACAGAGGAAAATTCAGGTAAGGATAACTATAATGCATATAATACAATTTTAATTCTCATCTTTTTTTGTACTAATAAAGGATCCTTATTTATTTTCCAATAAAAAAAAGCCGAGGATTTTTAAACTTTTTGTTCGAATCAATGCACGAAGAAGAAAAATATTCGGAGCAAGATATTCGGGGCGACATCAATACGATAGCTATAGCTGTAAGTCACATTTATTATTTAGATACAATAAAATTTTTATATTCAAGAACATATATACATATTACACTTTCTTAATTATTTGTGATTATTCATATAATGAAAATAATTTTCATATTAACTTCTTTTCATATCTTCGATCAGGAAGGACAAAGAATATGAGGAACTGAATCAAATCTACGGCTCGAACGATCCGAAATATGTTCTGATAACATATGATGATATTAAAAGTATGAAACTGTTGAAAAGATAACGTTACGTCTATTTTCTCCAGGTCTAATCATCGCTTGGAAAGTAACCAGAGATATAAAAGATAATATAAATTTATTCTTTGATTTTTGTTTTATTTGATACTTTAATAGGACGTTCCTATCCAATATCTTATATTTATTTCCCCCCTCTGATAGTTGATGTGAGTAACATGTGATCTATGTTGAGTAGGACGTAATAGCATTAGTATTTTGTTTGATGACATGCATATAAAATATATACATTTGTTAATTGATTTACCAAAAATAATAATAATTAGTGATAGATAAAAGATCAAAGTACGAGTTCGTTTCCACATTATCTACAGGGTTTATCTCTCAGCGTTATTTTTTTATGGATTTCTCTGTCTTTGTATCATTACTATTACTACTACTATTATTATAATAATAATATATAATATAAAAATATAATAATAAGAGGAAGAAAAAATAAAAGAATATATTTATATTTACTATGTGTGTTCTCCGTCCGAAATTGTTTATTCCCGTAAAGTTTGTTATCTTCCGATTCGTAATTCGGCGTATATTTTATTAGCGATTAACATGCTTACGACGTTCAATCAAGTATTTTGAAATAACAACGTGTTATCAGTGCTTTTACTATTATAATATAAAATGTACGAAATATTTTCATTATTATATAATCAGTAGTAGTAATAGTAGTAATAGCAGTAGAAGTAACAGTTGAAATAGCATATAGTGGAATAACCGTGAAAGGGAAACCTAGTGAAAAGATAACTCTCATAAGTAGTGCGAAAATGAATTCATGTTATAATGTATATTAAAATAATATAATATATAAGTCTTCACCAATTATTTTTGACAAAATATTCCACAAAATCTTATTTTTTATCGTATATTTATATACTAGTTATTATATAGCAATTATATTTATTATTCTTTATGCAATTTTGAAACAAATGTGTATCAACATCGTATCTAATTCGGATCACTGCGAGACCCCTACGACAATGTAAAAAAGATCTACATATGAGAGACTGAAAAATATAAGGACACATTTCTAACTAACATTGCCTACTCTACTCAAACGAAACCCATTGATATGTTATGTCCAATGCAAGCTTATACAATTATTGGATAATGGTGCATGATGGGAACAGCCACTTTCACTTGTAGTTGATATTTTATCATCCATACTTATCGCCGCAATCATGCACGTTCTTGAAAAAGGTAAAATAGATTTTTAAGGTTAGTATTTCTTTTTATATTTGTCGAACGGCGTATTCTTACAAAGTCTTTAGTTAAGGTACTAATTGCTTCTTATATGTCATATTATGCAATATTTATGCCATTCATTTAATGAATCTTTCAATAAATTTTCGGTCTTGAAACCAAAATTAGCACGTTGAAAGTTTATTAAATGATATTCGTTTGTAGAAATTAAAAACTAATCTCTAAGTATGAGTTTAATTGAAAGATTTTAACGCATCAAGAAATAAAGCGGATCAAATTATTTTTAAAGTAAAGCATAATAACTTGAAGAAGCTGATACTGGAACCTTTCCGTAATATTATTCGTTGTAATTAATTGGTTTTATTAATAGTACTACTTACTCTTAGCAATTATTTTTATTAGCTATTATTATATCCAAAATACATTTTATTTCAGACCGACATTTAATAAAACGTTTTTACTTGGTATGAAGCAGTGTCTTACAAGGGAATATACTATATTTATCATAGAAAGAGGATCAAAATAAAGTCTGGAAGACCATATTGTTAAAATGTGGGAAAGACAGAAGATTTCTAGAAAGAATAATAACGGATCTGAGCTACAATCGTCAATCAGAGAATTGACAAAATGTTTTAAAAGAAGTATTCTGTTAATTGATAATATTATAGCATTGGTATACAGTTTATCAGGAAGCAAAATAGAATTTAATAAATATTTCATTAAATAAATAATTCTGTTATTATTTTTGTAAACCGCAAGTTTTTTCTTTCATTCCTGGTAAGAAAATATGAGATGATAATGACTTTATTATTATTATAATTATTAAGTGAAATATTTGCATCAAAAGTGTATTTTTTCTTTATTTTCAAATTATGTCAATGTATGACTAATATAATGTATAACGTTTCAGAATTGGCTAACCATTGATGCTCAGCAATCTGTTACTTCATTTAAGAATAAAAGATGATGACGTCGATCCAGAAATGTATCATTATGCACTGGATTATTACTATGCTAAGGAAATGAACGCAACAAAGGAATATTCCATTGTGCAATAAATTGGACTGGCTTTTAATTGGTATGTACCAAGAGTATGTATTTTCATTTCGATTCTGTTCTCGCTGATAATTATTAGATCCTCAATAAGAATGTCGCCACGATAAGATCATGTCTCAACAAACTGTTCAATCCTCCATGACTACTAGATTTTCATTGAATAAGAACGATTATTATTTGTATGAAAATAGAAAAGAAAAATATCTTAAGGTTCAAGGATATCATTCGATAATATGTATTCATCAATTAGTCGATGGTTTCTCGTCGAAAGATTCATTATATTCTCTACCGAAAGATTCATTATGTATGCAAAGATTGAGAAAAGCAAGAGAACTATCCAAGAGATCATCGGAATCATTTGAAAGGATATTGAAGAACATACAGATGAAGACAGAGTAAATTTATTTATCGAATTTGCTAGCCTTATAACAATCGTAGAAGAGGAGAAAAGCAGTTTATTACAAATGGTACTTAAGGAAAATTGCAGTTGAAGGTTTCGTGGAAACGTGGTAAGAATGCTTGTTTGTTAATGGTCATGGATTTTTGTTCCAGCAATCATACTTTTTGGTCATATTATGGATAAATTTCGTTAGAAGGAAATTATTTAGATCTGCTAATTGAAAGGGGAAAATGTTTTGTTTTATTATGGTAGAACGATTGTTGATGAGAGAAGAATAAGTTTGAGATGTAGACCATGTTCTTGTATCAATTTTCTAATTTGGATTTCTAATTTTCTCAAATGGATATTTGTCTATTGAATGGTTCACTTTTAGCGACAGATGCTCCGACAAGTAAATGTATCGTTGAGCAGTGCATATGTGAGTATCTGTAAAACAAGATAATGATCTTAGGGATCCATCAGTTACAGTTTCCAAATTGTGCTGATGAAGTGATCCGAATACATAATGGCTCTTTGTAGATTAAAATTAATTTTAATACTCTCAAAGTTTCTGGTGTTTATTTCACCATATTTGTAATTTAAAGGAACAAAGAATCCACATACAAAAAGATGATCGAAGATTCAACGGATTGATATAGATAATAACTATAGTAGGAAGCGCAGACATCACCTTCGAGATTTTTATATGGTGATAAATTAAACGATTGCAAGGAATGAGTGAATTGATTTATTGTAATGTTAAAATATAAGCTTACTCATTAGCTAATTGATTATCATGTTTAATAATATGATAACAAAATGTTATTAACGAGTTTGGTGGTCAATCACTGATCTCTAATCACGTAAGTCAACGTTGTGAGATTTGCCGACGATTAGTACATTAAACACCGAGAAAATATTTATCATCGAATTTGGCAATCATTATGAAATTCTTTTGGCTGTTTCATCTTTATCTTGGATTCATGAGTTTCAGCATTTATATCAAATTAATCTCTTTTGTTTAAAGTTCAGTCATAATCGTATTTTTCTTCTTCTTGAAATACACCGTAATCAGTGACAGTTGTATTAGTAATCAGATAAATGACTATGACCATATACATAATATGGAGAGATGTGAGATAGATGGTCGGGGAAGAAAATTTGATTTTGAACTTGGTCAAAAGAATCCTCAAATATAATCATTTGCAGGAAAAATCAGTGTTAAGTAATGATCCGAAATTCAATTGATCAAACTAAAGAAGAAGATTGAATACAGTACGATCTTATCGAATTTAAATATGTAAGACTGAACTATGGAATGATGAAACCATATATTATGAAAAATATAACGTTCACGATCATTTCAGCAGAGAAGATTGGTATCTGTAATGGTTCAAAAAATCTACTTTGATTATTTTCCAATTATCTATTGTGGAAAGGAAACTATCGGAGGAATCTGGTACGAATATTAAGCTGAAAATTTTTTTTAAGTATCTTTTTCAATGTATGATAAAACTCATCTTACTTACTGTTTTATATATATATATATATATATATTCTTACATTGAATGAAAGAAAATAATTATTAAAAATGATCTGAATATGCTGAAAGTAATGTTTTTTCATTACTGGATGAAGCTACTCGAATGCGACAATTTTTAAAACAGTATTTTTTCAATCGTTCATGTTCTTGAATTTTTTCTATGCGAATATTTAAAATCCAGAATGTATGTCACCCAATCGGCTTTCGAAGTAGAAGAATACCGTCAAATTACATCTCCTGTGCTGCAAAATGTTCGATCTAACACTGAGTACAAACTTTATTATTTTATGTAGAGCAGTCAATTGAATATTTTTAACATTTAATAAAATAAAAGTTGTTTTCAATCAGAAATTTTTAAATCGCATTTCTTCAGTAACTTTCGACTTAAAATGGAAAAAATAGCACTATTGTAAAGAGACTAAAAGGCCTTCCAGGGTTCTTAACTAATTCAATGCCTGGTATAGGGCGAATTTGTTGGCAACATTTATAATATGTTGCTGGAATATTTCGATATTATCTATTAATATATTGTGAACTACTTTTAAATGACTGCAGATAATTATAATCTGATATAATAACACCTATATTTAAGAAATAAAATCATATCAGGCATATGTTCACATGAACTTTTTTTCTTATTTCAATGCGTTGAACCCATCAGTGAAATTATACTCCACATGTTCTTAAACAATTTTTATATTAATGTAAAACATGAACGAAAAAAATAGTTTATATCATAATGGTATGTTATTAGATTTTTTTTTTGCATTTTTTGTAAAGAAATACTATCAGGATAAATTTTTTGTTGCTTTTGTAAAACACTTTATTAGGAAAAATAAATAAGAATTATCTGACGTAAGCTCTGACTACATCTACAAAGTCCGTACTTCGTATACTTTAAATAACCCTCGTTTTCTTCCTCCCTCATTTTCTGGTAAGAGACAAGAATAATAGAAGTTGTTGTGCTTTGCCAATATAGTATCCGTAAATTTTAAGAATTATTATTACAATTATAAAAGTATTTTTAAAAAAATTGAATTACGTCTATAATTTTCAATTGATTCAATTCATCATGATATTTGTTGCATCATTGATTGTTATTATAATAATACTAATTGAATTATACTATTCTATAGTACAATATTTTTTTAATGAATTACGCATGTAATAATACAATCAAAGGATTCCCAGGTCCAAAAGCATATTCAATTATCGGAAACGCTCATCTGTTTATTGGCGAGACCAAAGATAAATTTGTAACTAATATTTTCTATATTTAGGCATATTATCTGGTTTTTATTTATAATCTTTCTTCTAGATATAACTAACCAATTTCTGAAGATTAGTATGAATTATCAATCATTATGGCGTGTATGGTTAGGTATAAAATTACTTATAATGGTCGACGAACAAAAAAAAATCGAAGTAAGTTTTATTAGATTTATTTCAATTATTTGTGATAAATTTATATTGGTTTTATTTTATTTTATTTCGTTCAATTTCCTTTCTCTTAAGATTATATTACATAGTAATATAATTTAATAGAATATCATTGTAGAGAGTACATAACATAGTACAGATGTTATTGAAAAGAGACAGGAATATGAACATTTTAAACCTACTATGGGCAATGGTTTGTTCTCTGTTCAAAGTGAAGTATTTACATATATTCTACATTTTTTATTAATATCAAATTATTTATATATATATATATATATATATATATATATATATATAAATATATATATATAAAATTTTATTTGTTATATAAAATTAGAGAAAAGTGTCTACTTCTTTTCAGAGAAATGATACTTCAGCTACTATCATTAGCTTTGTACTTTTAATCTTTGCTACATTCCCTAATATTCAAATACGTACATATTATTTAATTATCACCATTATTTATATAAAGAAAATTATTTTCATATTAACTTCTTATCATCAGTTATGCATCTTTGATTACAAAGAAAGAAATATACGAGGAACTGAATCAAATTTACGGCTCGAGCGATCCGAAATATGTTCCAATAATACATGATGATATTAAAAATATGAATATTTTGAACCAAGTGATCAAGAAAATGTTACGGCTTTTTCCAATAGGCCCAATCATCGGTCCTAAAGCAACGAAGGGTATAAATGCTATCTCTATATATGAAATGATAATATTGTATTTTTTTATCATTGATAGTATTAATATTAATTAATATCAATATTTATTTATGAATAAATATTAATATATAAAGTGGAAGAAAATTGGACGATACCAAAAAGAAGTTCTGTCATATTTTGGACCTACAAAATTCATTGGAATCAGAAATATTGGAACAAATCATTGAAATTCGATTCAGATGGGTTTCTATCCTGCAATGTTCATTCTTACAATTTTTTACGATTCGGCATTGGAGCTAGAAATTACATTGGTAATTCTATATTTTTCCAGATTATTGAAATCAAATTCCAAAAAGTTACACAACAACATGTATTTACAATTGTTTTCACTTTTTTAGGTCAAATGAAGGTATGCTACAAATGAAATTATTCCGTTGTATGTGTTTCTTGATAAGTCTTTAGTTTTTTTTTTAATATTTGCATGATTTTTAAGGCACAAAATCTTTTTCGGTTTTATACAAGAAACATTTTGGGAAATCATTATTGTTTAATTCGTTGAAAATTTGATCTTCTATGTTTATTATATTTATTCGTTTATTTATTAAGAATATGTTATGTCACTCTGACAGAAATTCGTACAATCAATGAATTTTTTCAGTATTTGTTGTGTACATTTTTATAATACCATTTAAAGGTATCAAATGTTTCTCAATAATATTATATTGTAAATTATAATGAACAAATTCATCTTTCCATTCCAAATTATGATGGTTATTTGTTAACTATCTATAAATATAATTATTACATTATTTATTATGTAATTATTTATATAAAAAATAATTTTGTAATGAAACTATAAGAAAGATTAGTTTACATAAGAGAAATATAGTTTGATTTTCATAGTTTGCTTGAAAAATAATATGTCATATTATTTTTCCGTTGTTTGCCAAATTTAGGGAATTTTCATTTATTTCCATGGTTGGTTCCAACAATAGTAGTCCTTTTTGCAAATAATTTTGTGGCCAGTGAAATACTTATTAAAAAACTATCTATTATTTCGTTCCTTCCGCACCTTGTGAATGGTTTCATTAGCTTGAGAACAACGAACTCTCCAAGTGGAATTCAATATTCTCTTCTCTCATCCTTTCTCAAATAGAGAAATCCATTTATTACATACTTGCTGTTGTTAGATGCTAATCAGAATTTTATTCTTAACTTATCTGGTTTGATTTGCATGTACTGTGTAAATCTACACCTAGTCTTAAATGGAAACAACTGCTCATCAATAATAATGTATGCACCTGGTTTATAAGAATTTTGATTATTCTCAATAAATCGGTCTCATATTTTAGATATAGCAAATTTATTAGTTTGTAAACACTGGCTTCTTTCGCTTCTCTTATCAAATCGTATAAACTTCATAATCCCAGTAAATGTATTCCTGATCATGGTTTTTGAAAAAAATGCGGGATTCCATTCTTTATTCTATTAATATGAAATCTAAATTTGTTGGTTCATGTGCGCTTCAAGCATATACCAGAATAATGAATGCATCTTATTTTATTGTATTTAGTCCTCATTTAATTCCCAATACTTTAAATCTTCTTTTTCTGTACACATTCTTATATGTTCCATTATACGGTAATTAATGATCAAAGAAAATGCACTCTTTACTTTTCTTTTTATGATATGTCGTTTAATATATCCTGCCGGATCAGATACTTCCTTAAAAATATTATGAACTGGTACCTTTCCAGGTTTAGAACCTTCGTCTATTTCCTCCCAAATTGTTCCATCAGAAACAGTTTCGATATTTTAATTCTTTACATTACTCTTACTTTCGGAACTCAATAATAATCTCCTTCTCTTTTGTCTTCGATGCTTATTTATAACACGATTGGTCGTAACTTTTGATACAAATTTATTAACAAATTTAATATACTAAAGGCCAGAAGCCACTACGTATAATCCTGCATGATTCTTGGTTTATGATAATATCGAGAATCAAAAACTACGAATGTTAATAAAGAAGTGTAGCGCAATTGCCATTTGTATGTGGATATTTTAAATATTTATTGTGTGTCGTAGTTAATTAAAGTTCCTTTTTTTACTGACCGTATTAACGAATTGAAGTATAAGATAATTCTTCAATGTATAAGAAGAATGGAGAAACCAAATTTGGTAATTAATAAATTCTCGTAGACTTCTCATTAGATTACATTAAAATATTGTATATATGTATATCGATAAGTGTATATATTTGACAGATATATTTCAAAGATTTTAATTCAAGTTTTATATTATCAAATAAAAGTATATAACAAATGTCGATAAGTTACATTTCTTTTATATCTATATCAAATAATGTAGATTTATTCTTTCTGTTGAAGATATTCATATGCAATACATTCTTTATTAATAATTTTAGAAAATAAATTTATAACGTGCACATTAATACAAAGTAATAATAGAAATGATTATTGATTAGATGATTTATTCAATAACATTAAAAATTAAATATTAAAACATTTTTCTATTTTGTACTAGGTTGTGCAAGTTAAAATTATCGAGGGAAGTTACGTATTTACAGCCGGTAAAATTTTCTATGATAATAACTATTTTATAACTTTTACTAAAGAAAGTAATAATATTTCAACGATCATTAAAGTAAATCAATTAGAAAGAATTATTTACTAATATTGAATTGAAATTGTTCGCCAAGAATTTCTATTGTAAAATTACATATTTCTTTAGGATATATTATCGTTGGACGCTTGCAGACATTATACAATTACACAATTACAGAAACTTTTAGTTATAACAAGAAGGGAGCTTAGTATAAAATAATTATTGTTATTTTCTTTTAAATTTACATATATTATAATAAATTAAGTCAATATGATTGAGTGACTGTCTACCATGTTTACAGAAAGCATTTTACTATTTCTTTCATTTTTTTTGTTTTTTATTTTTTTAATTTATGATATGATTATTATTAAGAAAATAAAAAGAATCATTATTATCATTATTATCTTATAACAGGGACGTTAATATTTTAAATGTCATGACAACAAATTTGATACGATATCGTATATAATAAATTTCACAAATGTGAGACCATATGACGATAGATTTAATCTTATAATCTTATATTTCTTTGAAATATTCGAAGAAAGTCGACGTTGGTATTCCTGAATGGAATGAAATATTTGTCATTCACCATCTTCGAAATTATAGAAGTTTCATAGAAAAATTGCAAGTAACTTATGTAGCACGAACTTGAACTTAGTCATGGTAATAGAAAGATTAAATTTATTCAGCATATATAATAAATTCTTGTGCATATACAAAGCATTTGGAATAAACACTTATATTCCAAACATCGAATGTTACCAAGTCTATTTACTGTAGCTTTTTAAAATTGTTTAATTGCATTATCCGACTTTATTTCTTATTGTCACCTCGACATTGAATGAATTGTCTGCGTTTAATACACCTTTCATTTAAAGTTAGATAAGGCATAACGACGTATGTTATAATCCAAAATGTCGAAATGGAAACAGAGATCAAAAAGAGATCAAAGCATCATAGATTTTTTTTTAGAAATTCTATGTGTGAGTCGCAATCTTCCGTCAAATAAAAGAATAAGTTAAATAATTAATAAATAATCTTTGAATTTTATTGAAGGAATGTAAAAGTCGATATAATATTAATTTAATAAAATATAAAAGAAAATGAAAAACAACATATTTCATATTCACGTAGATTAAATATATGATAAACATACTTTTATTTCATTATTAACCAAAAAATATGTATTTTTCGTATACAAAACATATCTACACCTTTAAAATGAGAAAAACGAAATTTGCTTAAATAAAATCAATACAAAAGTAACATATAATGTATTCCATAAATGAAATGCATAAATTACTGAGTTTTCGTAATGAAATCCTAACTGTCAAAAAAGATAAAGAAAATAGTAAATAGACAAAATTACATATGTGATAACGAGTTTCTTATGATAATATAGAAGCAGAGAAAAAAAGAATTAGAAAGAGACAAAGTCCGATAGGAGGATTCGAGATGGCGAAACGTTAATTGTCGTTAATGCGATCGTTGTCATATGGGAAATAAATTTGAATCATTAAAAATTTTTCTATTATAATTGTTGCTATCGTATAGTATAGTTTTAATAAAATATATGTGAAAAGAAAAAACGAATAACTTTGGTACATAAAATATCCATAACTATTAATCAAAGGGCTAAAAAAATTATTATATTATGATTTGCAATTGAATTGTTAAACTGATTTGTAACTATAGAAAAAGAAAAGAAATGTGCACGAAGAAAGAAGAAAATGATAGATATAGACCAAGTAAAGAAAAAAAAAGAGTATCAAAGAAAAAAAGAATTAAAAAAAAAAAAATAGAAAAAGGACCATTTGCGTAACAATATTCGACGTATAAAGTTATGTAATTATAATATTTTGAAGCAATTTTTTGGAATTTATTCTTAATGAAATAATGTAGAGAGTTAAACAAAAATTAGAATCCAAATCAAAAAATATTAATTAATGGAAAAAAATAAAATTCTGAAGCTACTTTCGACAATCATATCATTAATGTTGAAAATGTGAAAAAAGTACGTATTAATAAGGAGTAATTAACAACTAGAGTACGATAGAATTATTGATAGAGCTTATAGATAGGGGAGAATGTATAAATTATTTGCCTTAAATAATTTTTTAAAGACAGATTTTATTACAACTTGAGAATAAATTATACTGGCAAATTTGTTACGGCCACCATTGGTATAATATAAATACTAATGGCAAGATTTAATTTTTAGAAATTTTGATAATAATCATTCAAAACATTTTTCTGTTAAGATTATTTCAACTGAGTTTTCTGCATTTTTTAATATGCAGCAATTTTATTATCGATTTCTTTGATTCTAATTGAAATGCATCTTATGATTTTAAATTTATCATATATTTGTTTATATCCATTACCGAAATAGAAAAAGATGTTATTGTTAGATTTAATTAGCATCTCGATAAATAATAACAGATTTTAAGAATGAAAATCTAATAATTGAAAGAATTAGAACAGCACATATAGAGATATCAAAATATTTTTGTTAAATAATTTTTTGATATACTTTCATTTTCAGGATTACAACTTGCACAATTGCAAACATTGTTATTGAAATATTAGGATTTATTTGTAAAATACAATAATGCCATAAGTGTAACCTACATCATGGAATTGGCATATGCGACATGTGATAACAGAATTGGAATTAATATTTTTTTTTAATTATGGTAGTATATCAAAGCATATAACCCAGATGGAATCGAGAACACATAAAGACTAAGAATGTAGTTAACTGAAATTTTAAATAGACAAAGATAGTTTCTAACAATAAGAAAGAGTCATAATGGAAAATTCTATTGAGTCACTTATATAATTCTCAAAGACCATGGAATGATAATATTTAATATTTCTAGACAATGAAAAACAAGCACAAATTGAATATGTAGTTACAATTGTAATAAATATTTTTGAAGAAAAGATATTTTGTATATCATCATAAGATATTATCAACAATAACAATAAAATAATGTATTAACAATTCATATGAAATTAAATAATATTTTATAAAAATAGTTTGCAAAGTTAACTAACTTTGACATAACTTGCTGAATTTTA